CTTTATTTTTCAAAAGTTGAAGCCTCGATGGAAGAGTATTTTATTTTTGAAAAGTCGAAGCCTCAGTGGAGGAATATTCTATTTTTCAAAAGTTAAAGCCTTGGTGGAGGAGTATTTTATTTTTTTCAAAGGTTTTGAAGCCTAGTGCATAAGCATTTTTCTTGAAAAAGTGAAGCCTTTATTGAAGAGGAACTTTTGCAATTTTCTTTTTCAATTTTTCTAGACTCGAACAAAATGGATGTCTTTTTGTCTTTATATATTTCTTATTTCACAGAAAATGCACAAAGAGGGGCAGCTGTAGATACCTTATTTTGTCCAGGTAATTTTTCGAGATCACAATGAGCTTTATTTGCAAATTGGACCCTAATATGAAATATTGGACTTAAAAGATTAAAAGCCCGAAAATCTTAATCTTAATTTTAACTTTAATTTTAATTTGATTTTAATTTTGATTTTAGTTTTAATTTTAATTTTGATTTTATTTTATTTAATTTTAGTTTTTGTTTAATTTTGGGTTAAAGTCAAAAGTCAAAAAAAAAAAAAAAAGGATTGGTGTTCGAATTTTGGAAATTCTAGGTTTTCTAGCTTAAACATATGAATCTTTTTGTGGGTATTACGGTAGTCGAAAGTTGTTAACGATGGCCATTTTATAGGTTGATAGTTTTTTCTAGGATTGTTTGAATTTTTCAACGACTAGCTAAATTTTTTAATGTTGAAATCTAGATTTTATGGTTATTTTTTGGATTTTGTTAAATGTACTGGTAAACTTCTAAAGAGAAGCTAAAAAACAAATCAAGTTAGAAAGAAAAGATGAGGTAGGTTTAAGATAAAACAAAGGATTTCGGCTTTTATTCTGACACAAATGATACCGTTTAAAAGAGTAGGATCCCCATCCCACCCTACATCAAATTCGCATGCTAACTTGCCTAGGACCTGACTCGATCGCAAGTTTTCTTTTTTCTTTTTCCTTTTATTTTTTTATTTTGATTTTATCCTTTTTTTATTTTTTGATTTATTATTTTAATTATATGATTGAATTAATGTGATGGAAAGAGAAAAAGATAAAAATAGTTTATTTTTGCACGATGTTTTTATGAATTTATTTTCTTAAATAGTACATATTATTGTGCATGATTTAATATATTTTTGCATGAATGCATTATTATTAATTTATTATAATATTGCATGATTATTAGTATATTTATTTGCATGATTATTAATATATTTACTTTTATGATTATTAATATATTTATTTATGTAATTGCATGATTATTAATATATTTATTATTGCATGACATGATTTTATATTTATTACAAGATATGATTTTATATTGCATGATATGATTTTATATTTATTGTATGATATTATTATTATATGATAATTTTTGCATGGAATGATTTAATATTTATTGCAGGAGTGCTTGACATTTTGATAAATTTTTGCATCATCATGGTGTGTAAATAAATAGAAGGATTAGGATTGATTTTGATTTGCATGATAAAAATCATCTTGATTAAGGCTTAGGTAAGATAATACATAATTAATTTGGTACCAATTTTGAGCGTAAAGAGGTGCTAAAACCTTCCCTGCATGTAATCGACTTCCAAATCTTGTTTTATTGATATAGACTAGAACCTATTTTTTTTAGAGACCCTTAATTCAAGCTTAGGATAATCTTGAAATGGATAAATTCATATAGATGGCCAATCATACCTAGCTAAAAAAAATTGTGACTTCATGATTTTTGTGTCTAATTGGTAGGTTATCAGACTTTAATGTTACAATAAAACCTTTATGAGGCAATTTACCAAGACGAGCTTTTTGGCTTATGTGACCAAGCTGAGCATTTATGAAGGTAATTTATCGAGATGAACTCTTTGACCAAAATGCCACTGAGCTAAGCCTTTATGAAGATTATATTTTGAAATGAGCTCTTTAGTCGATGTGGTCAAGTTAAGCCTTTAAAAAGGTAATTTATTAGGATGAGCTCTTTGGTTGATATGGCTAAGCTAAGCCTTCAGGAAAAAAATTTGCTGAAATGAGCCCATTAGTCGACGTGGCCAAGTTAAGCATTTATGTAGGTAATTTATCGAGACTAGGCTCTTTAGCCAATATGGTAGAGTTAAACCTTTATGAAGCCAATTTATTGAGATGAGCTTTTTATCGAATATGACCAAGCTAAACCTTTATAGAGGTAATTTACCAAAATGAACTCTTTAAAAGATATGGCCAAGCTAAACATTTATGAAAGTAATTTACTGAGATGAGCCTTTTGACTGATATGGCCAAGCTAAGCCTTTATGAAGGCAATTTACTAAGATGAACTATTTGATCGATGTGGTTGAGCTAAACCTTTATGAAGGTAATTTATCAATATGAGCTTTTTGGCCAAAGTGATGCCGAGCTAAGCCTTTGGAAAGGTAATTTGTCAAGCAAGCTCTTTGACTGTGGTGGCTAAGCTAAACCTTTAGAAACTAAGTTTTTAGAAAGGCAATTTATCGGGATGAACTCTTTGGCCAAAATGGCTAGGCTAACTTTTAGAAAGGTAATTTGTTAAGATGAACTCTTTAACTAATGTGGCCAAATTAAGCCTTTAGAAAAGGTAATTTATCGAAATGAGCTCTTTGGCTAAGGTGATTGAGTTGAGCTCTTTGGCTAAGGTGATTGAGTTTAGCCTTAAGGAAGGTAATTTGCTGAGATGAGCTCTTTGACCTAGGTGGCCAAGCTAAGCATTTATAAAGGCATTTTGCTGAGATAAGCTCTTTAGCCAATATGGTCGAGCTAAGCTTTTATGAAAGCAATTCATGAAAATGAACTCTTTGGCCAATGTGGTTGAACTAAGCCCTTATAAAGGCATTTTGTCGAGATGAGCTCCTTGACCGAGAGGGTTGAGCTAAGTCCAAGCTCTTTAGCCAAGCTGCTTTGTTGAGTTGGGCTTTTATAAATGCGATGTGTTGATCTAAGCTCTTTGGCCAATATAAGTCCTAGCTCTTTAGTTGAGCTACTTTGTTGATTTAGGCCTTTATGAAGTGATATGTAGATATGAACTTTTTGACTAAGTTGAGTTGGAACTCTTTGGCCAAGCTACTTTGTTGAATTGGGCTTTATAAAGGTGATATGTGAATTTGTGCTCTTTGGTTGAGCTTAATCTGAGTTCTTTGGTCGAATTGCTTTGTCGAATTGGACTTTTATGAAGTCGATATATAGATCTAAGATCTTTGGCCAAATTAAGTCTGAACTTTTTAGTCGAGCTGGGTTCAAACTTTTTGGCCAAGCTAGATTCAAGCTCTTCTATCTTTTCATGGTGCTAGTCCGAACTTAGCTAAGAAAACCCCCTACATGGCACGCCATTTGTTTATGCTAAGTCCAAGCTTGAGAGATGAGTTCAAAGGTAGGATCCAAGCAATATGTAGATCTGAGCTCTTTGATCGAGCTAAGTTAAGCTTTTTGGTTGAGCTACTTTGTCGAATTAGGCCTTTATGAAAGTGATATGTGGATTCGAACTCTTTGATTAAGCTAAGTTCAAGCTTTTTAGTTGAGCTGCTTTATCGAATTGAGCCATTATGAAGGTGATATGTAGATATGAGCTTTTTGGCCAAATTGGATTCAAGCTCTTCTATTTTTTCATGGTGCCATTCTGAACTTAGCTTAAAAGCCTCCTACTTGGCATGCCATTTGTTTGTGCTAAGTTCAAATTGGGAGGAGTTCAAAGGTAAGAATTAGAGAGTTGAAGGCAGAGCTCAAAGATAAGAATGAGAAGGTTTAGAAAAGAATTGGTCCCATTTTCTTAAAGGTAGTGGAAGAGTATTTATGTACATCAGTTTGGACTAAATGACCAAAGTATTCTAAGTCTAATTGTGAGCCTCTCTCTTACGATAAAAGACAATTATACTTTTATAATCCAAAAATGCCCCTAACAAGAATCAAGGAAGAAAATTTGTGATCTATCGATGAGTGATATAACCAAAAATATCAAATATGGTGTATCATTATTTTTTTGTCAATTCATTAATTTTGGTTAGGAAAAGAAATTAAAAATCAATTATTTGCCAACACTTTTGTTTCTTTTTGGGACCATTAGCTTTGAGTTTTTGCAAAATCCCAGATCCAAAATTTATAAAAACAAAAATAAGATTTTAATTGCTAAAGAACACCATGCACCGAAAGTTTCACAAATTTTTAGATCAATATTTTGTTACTTCTCATAAATAAGACGCAATTTGGTTGTTTTGGTAAGAACAATTTGGTAACTATAAATTAAAAACAAAATATTAATTCATCAAAATATTATTGTTGAAAATTTCTCAAGAAATAGAAAACACATGAATTAGCTCATTCATTAAAAATGAAAAACAAATGTAACATTTATTATAGCATAATTACACTATAAAGAAGACTATGGAAAAGAATAATCACATATTTATCATCTAAAAGTATTAAAGATTTTATTTAATAATTCTTCAAATTTGTTAATAATTAAAAAGCCATCTTATACCTTTTTATATTCAAATAATAATAATAATAATAATAATAATAATAATAATAATCGGTTTAAGGTGTTTAAAATGCACTTTGCTATAAAAAATTAAATTTTTTAGAAAGGGAAATAAAACATGCAAAACAAATTAAAAGTACACGACCAAAATTATATATAAAGATTCAAAGGAGAAATTCCATCGTATAAACATTATAAGGTTAATTATAAAGTTCAAACAAACCAATGAGTGGTTAAATCAGTTTTTTTTTTCTTTCTTTGTGAATAATTAATTAATCTGTTACAACCCAGAAATTAAGTAGAATATACATAATTTATTTACCTTATAATTCCCACCCGCAATAACCGAATATGGCTAGGAGAAATAAACAAGTAAACTTCATAAAGAATTAATAAATAAATAAATATCAATTTATTTTTAATCCCCAAGCAAAGAAAATTGAGCTTTCCGCTTTGTATGCTTTAAAAACCAGTGACAAAAAAGTACGGATTCTCACTTTTAAATTAGTTAGCAAACAAAGCCACAATAGAAACGATGTACCAAAAGCCACCATCAGCAGCTGTATCACTTATCCTAATGCCAGCATTTGAATTGTTTGAAGAAGAAGAAGAAGAAGAAGAAGAAGAAGAGTTGCTTGAATCACTTGAAGTATTGTTAGTTGAAGAACCTATACGGAACAAAAAAAAATCATTATTACTATTATTATTATTATATGAAAACGAAAATAATGAAGCATTATTTTTGGTACAAGCAAAAATAAATATAGGGTTTTGTCTTAAACATTCCAAAGTTTTTTTCTAATTAGGTTTTATGTTTAACTTTAACTCAGTCCAACATGATTCTCGTTTTTTAATAGTTTTGATCATTTAGATGTAAAAAAATATTGAATGAATGAATAAATAAATAATAAATAAATGAATGAGCATCAAGAGAAACTGCGAATTTAGAAATGAAAATAATAAAAAAAAAAATTACCTAGATTTGAAGGGGTTGATGAAATAGTTGGTGAGGCACCGGGCGAGGTTGCTTTAAGTAAAAACAAAAAGAAACCAATAATTAGATACACAGATAAAATAATCATGTACAAATAAAAAAATACGTTAAAAAAGACTGAGTCAAACACCAATGGCCTCAAAAAAATTATTTAAAAAAAAAGAAACCCAAAAATTGTTGCCAAATAGACAATATTAAAATAAAAAAAAATGATTCTACGCTCAATGATGAAGTTTATAAAGTTTAAATACTTCTCATCATCTCACGTGTCCATTTAACTATAAGAAAAGAAATTATCAAATTGATATAATTATTTGAATAAACACATGTCAATTTCAAAATTATAGTAAATTAGAGGATTCCAAAAGTTAAAAAATTCTTGTATGGAAACTTTGTGCTATTTACTTTCTATATAAACAAACAAACATGGAGAACATTAAAAATCTAAAACGGGAATTAAAAGAAAAATTAATTTCAAATGTGATAATTTTATCTATATAAATATATTACAATAATGTAGAGGAAGATTTTTCATCAAAGAATAATAACATGATGTGAATTAATGAAGAAGTTTAATTCAAGCTTTGAACCTATCAACGCATGCAAGGAACTTAGGTGTAATCATGAAGATTTTTTTTAACAAAGAATTAATTAGCAAGCGGGAAATTAAAATCTTACGCACCATTGTTGCAAACAGATACATCAACATCAATGCCACATGCCTTAGGGAGTGCCAAGGCTTCATCCTTGGTGAGGTTGACACTCTTCAAGAGTTCCGTATTATCGAAGACCTTGCAAAGGCATTGTTTCTCCTGTGTGATCATGTCCTTCAATGGGGAGCAACAAGTCGCAGGAGGTGAGGGAGAATGCATGAAGGGCTGGCAAGGCATTAGCTTTTGCATGCATGGCATTGCATCTGCAGAAGCTCCTCCTTGAGAAGCGGCTGTAGTTGCGGCAGCCGCACCGCTTGGTTGATGTACCTGTTGAAGAACGCCTGCAAGGCCTTGCTCCAAACTGTCTACACTTTTTGTCAGATCCATTTGTCGATTTTCTTGTGAGAAACCTTGGAGACCCCACGAAAGGAAGAAGAGAAAAATGCAGGTAAAAACCAGCTTGGAATCCATGGTTTTAATTTCAATGAGAATTAATTGAACCCCGAATCAAAAATTAACTTGTTTTTTTTGTATTATTAATTAATGAAGAGCGAAGGCAAAGAATAAAAAAAAATGAGATTCGTTTCCCTTTTTCTCTCTAGAGCTAATTTTCTCTTTAAAAAAAATGAGTATATATACATATATAGAAATTATGAATTGCTATGTATAGACATGCAATTCTTAGATTGGAAGTTTGAGTTTGCTCCTATTATCTCTACATTGAAGAAACCGTTTTTCAGTGGTTACAGATCTTTTCTCTAAAAGGCATATGTATTGAAAATATTTGTAGTTAATAATTAACACCTAATCCTATTTAGAATTCCATTAAATAAAAGTCATACGTTTTGGAATGAATTTACTTTTTTTTCCCCCTACTATTATTATTTTTGAGTAAATTAATTACACAAGTGGCCTCAAACGTTGGGACAAACACCATTTTTATTTCTAAATTTAAAAAAGTAACTTATTTGTCTTTCACTATCAAGAATCATAACAAAGGTCATTTTTAAAAAAATTAATTTGTCCGTTAACTTTTCCATTAAGTATCAATTGGTATCATGATTGATGTGTATAAAAAGGTTTATTTAAAAAAGAAAAAAAACCCTTAATTTTGTTTAGGATATACAGGTATTTTCAAATTATTTTCTATAATTTAAATTTTGTAAGTTTATTTGAAGAATATGTCTAGCATTATAGATATAGAAAATAGGCCAAAAAAGGATGTTACCATCGGAGGAAGGGCGAATTCGATTCTCACTATCGATTTGACTTCGTGAAGGGTTGATACACTTAACAGAGTTTGATAGAAGCTAGTGATGCAGGATGATAAGTAGTAAGTTAGTTAGTAAGCCCATTATATGAGTCCAGTAGTCAAAAGGTTCATTAGAGCCCAATACTTATTCAGCTTGTCAAACCCATGGTTGTATTTTCTTATTTTCTTATTTCTATCACATTTTAGTGGGAAGTCATTCGTTATGTGGGAAGATATAATTCTAAGATTCTTTGAGGGTAGGAGGAGTGCATATAGCATTTTAATATTGCATTGTAATGACAGACAATGAATTAAGAAAATTCCTTTCTCTTTGATATTTTTTCTTTCTGGAATTCTCTAGTCTTATTTCTCTTTTCTTCTTTATTTTTTCTGTATCGACTCAACTTGAATGCACCAATTTGGTATCAGAGCTTCGATTTTGGCTTCAATGGCGGACAATATTACCACTAGATTACTGAAGGAAGTCAACCAATTATAGTCTGAGATGCAACAACAAAATAAAATGGTGGACATGAAGTTAGAGGGAATGTGAACGAAAATGAGATTGGAGCTTTAAAAGATTCTTGATCGGTTGCTGCCAGTTCATGAAAAACATCAATCTACTGATAACAAGTCTGTTCAATCTCTATGTTAGTAATTTAGAATGTGGTGTATCTCACATTGGATAGAAAGATTTAATTATTGGTGAATAAAATTAATTTCTATATTAATTTTATTCATATTTTAAAATAATTATGTTTGAATAGAAATAATTATCATATGATAAATGATCATAACTATTTGAATATAAATATATTGTTATTCATAAAGATCATGATTTATACAGAAGGTCATAACTATCTGAATAAAATTTTATGTCTATTCATTCATTATAAATAAATCTTTTAGTATAACTATTTTCACTATTTCTGATTAGAGAGTTTGAGGCTTTGTTGTATCTTAAAGGCGTAATTGTCTTTAAAAAATATTCTTCACGCCTCAAAGCCAAAATTCTTTTTAATTATTCCTCTTCTCTTATTTATTTTTTCTATCACTTTAAAGGTAATTATGAGAAATTTATATTTTGTATGAGTAAGATACAAGGAAAAGAAATTGGCATGATTTGGAGATCAATATTAGAAAAAGTTCAAGGTGTCAAAGGATTAATGTTTCTATGGACCAACATGTTAATTTTCATAAAGATCTCCATTAGAGGTATGTATTTTATTTTTTTGCATACTAATGAAATAAATTGTTAATGTGTTTATCTCATTCAATCAATCTTTTTACTAGCAATTATGCAAAAAAAAAAAAATAATTTGATTACATTGCATAAATTTATACATATACTGAAATTGACTCCATAATTGGGTTTAATGAATTATATTATATTTATTTGAAAAATCGATACTTATAAAGACTGAGATGAAAAATAGCCTGAAAACATAAAAAAGAAAGACGTGAATTGATCTACAATGAAAAAAATTATCACTTGTTATCAAGTAACAAATTAAATTGGGTTATAATGGAATGGCCGATTGTTTAATTGTCATGTCTTCGTTATATATAGAACAGGCAAATTGTCCCATGATTTCTATGAAAACAATCAGAAATGAGTAAAGGAATTTACCATGAGAAACTAGATGCAAGTAAAGAATATATGCAAAAAATAAAATTTAGCTACAAAATTAGTTTTATTATTAAATCATGGCACGAAAATTGAGATAATAAGTTGAGTCAAGCTATTTTTATGATTCTATCTTTGTTGGTCGTTTATAAATAAAATGTTAATATAATTAAAAAATATTGAAGCATTTGTTGGTTACTAGCATTTTGAAGAATGCTAATCAATGTCTAATTAGGTGTGTTTATATATTAGAAAAGAACATGCAAATTCAATGTTCCAAAGGCACCAATACATGTATGTGTTTAATTTCATTTTATGATGGCATGGAAAATATTGGTACAATTTACCATATATTACGAAAATGAATTGAATATGACGGAATTTCTTTCTTATACATATAAGAAAGATATAGACTATAGAGATAGAAAGCCATCATCCAATTAATACATTATTGATTAAAGACAATGAAGGTATTTTTGCTTCTTGTACTTGAAAAAATGGCCTTTTGTAAGCTGTTAAAATAGGAAGTGAACAAGTTTTCGAGGTTTTCAATAGTTTCATGACAATTGCAAGGATGTGGCTAGTTATATACCATATTAATAAATGGGCTTAGAAAATAATATTAGTTTGTGAAAGCCGTAAGCCTTAGAGTTAGCCAATTAATGATTTAACCAATACAAATTCATCATGAATTTTTGCATGAAATATGAGTAGAACTCATATTATAATTATTGTTTATACTATTTTATGAAAATGATTCTTTGGATTTATGTTTCATGACTTATTGATATGGTGATCTAGATGAATATATTGGTCACAAAATGATTGTGAAAGTATTTGAAATTGGAGTTAAATATACTATGGACTCTTATTATTTATTGGCATATTGATCCTATTAGTAAAGTTTGAATTTATTATATATCTAAAAATGTTATGACCAATTAAAAGTGGTAAATAAGAGATATATAAGTTACACAATGATTGAGAAACAAAGTTCTCATAAAATTTTGAAATCAAGTTTAAAGGTTTTAATAATCATAAACTCAGAATTGGCCATTGGACAATTATTATATGCATTGAAAACTCATGATAACATTTGAGATAGTTGGTTTTCACTAAAAACCATCATTATAAATGAGATAATTTTAATAGCCAAATCTACATGATTTGTAGGTATGAGGTAGATTATTATAGTTGGCTTAGAATAGCCATAAACCAAAATTGATGCCACAATCTTGATCATGTTGTGGTAGTTTTCTTATGTATATGATCTACTTCATGGGTTATACAAATGATTTATCATCTATGGTTTTATATAGTGAAAATTTCAAAGTATATTTACTTTGGAAGCCATGAATGATTTAAAGATCTTGTGAACTTGAAAACCTTTATAATAGCAAAAGAATGTTATTTGATCCATTTGGGTGATGAAAATGGTTTTGTGCATGGTAATAAAAAAATTGTTAATAGTGGTCATGATGAAATAGATTCATATAAATATTTATGAATTGACATAAAAGTCTTAAAAGGAGACTATAGAAGCATGATTATATTTAAAATCTGCTTATTGATGTAAGCTCTTATGTTGAGTTAAAATATAAAAGTTTTGAAACTTTTATTGAAAATTAAGGTATCAGCTAATTATTTTTCACTAAAGGTGGATTTGAAGGTCTCCTACTAAAAAAAAATCAAATAGTGAAAAGATAAATGAAATGGCAAATTGATTAAGTATATATGATATCTTGATAATTGAATGAGATATTCTTTAATAACAGAATGCATACTTGCACATGGTGGGGATGATAAGAATTAAAAGAAATAAAAATTACCACCATAGTGTTGTAAGATTTTAGTATAATTTTATGAGCAAATTATACAAGCTAATAAGTTTAAACACTTATTAAAGTAAAATCATTAAAAGGTCCTTCAAAATCTTAAAAGGACTAAAATTGTTTGGTTTATTTATTGAGTTGTACCAGAAGTATAATTATATTAAAAATGTATAAAAGTATGAAAATAGAATGGTTGAAATTAATAAATATAGAGTTATGGCCACAACCAAAACCGACTATTTCTTAAAATGATAAGAATGAGGCAATAATGTCTAGAGCATATAAATGATATGCAAAATGAAAAAGTTTTGATATATTAGCCTGAAGTGATTATATTAGAGATTCAATCTCAAATGTGAATAATTATCATATAAGAAAATTAAATTCCAGGATATTTGGTTAGTAGTATTACAAGTAGAATGGATTTAAACCGTTACTATTAGACACCAATAATGGGAACCCAACTTTGAAATAGTAACCTCTAATTACAAAGTTTAATGGGTAAAAATAAATTATTATTATTATGTGTCTGTTAAACACCAGTAAAATTCATTCAAATTTTAGAAGCTAGCGTGATCCATTGCATAAGATGGATGAGTTTTTATACTTTTAATGAAGTTTTAAATATCTAAAGCAATGGAGACATAATGAAAACTATACCTTTATAAACATAGAATTGGTATCGTTTCAATAAGAAAAATTAAGGTTTTTCTTGATATGTTTATGAATAGGATAAACACATGGCCATAATAGTGCTAAA